AAAATAACAAATATAATTTCCCTCGGACTGTTAAAAGTTAAGTAAGAGCCTAAAATAAACATACACAATGCTAATACAAATAATTACTTCAATATGTCAAAAAAAACGTTGACAATCTTTGTATCATATGATTTGTTTTATGAAAATTAAAGCTCTCTCTACTTAGGTACTTTAGATAAAATTTTCAATTGAAAGATAAAATTGTAAAATTATATCTTTGATTGCTATTTCCTATTTCAGTAAATGTTATGTATTTGAAACTACTTGATACACTTATCAACAAAAAATATCTTTTATTGTACTCAGTATTCATTGAATGGAAATAATGTAACTAATCAATGTCAATTAAGTAAATAATGATTGTTTATCGCGATTACTAAAACAATTTTTTATAAATGTGATAGAATTTCTATTTTACTATTCCAACTAATATAACATCAATGTTTACAAAATTAAAATAAAAATTACAAATATTTTCAGTTAGTACAATCAATTTCATACCAACTCAGGGCCAGTATATGGATAGGAATCACTCCAAAACCACGATGGTGAATTAGTTTCTTCAACCACAAATACTGAAGGACTTAATTCTTTTTTTATTTTGTAATAAGTACATTTTCGCTTCCCATTGCTCTCTATCAGTGTTTCGTAGGGTGGTGACAGAATATCTAGAAAAGCTGCAGGACCATCTAAACTTTCAATTTCATGCAAATTCTTACTATCTGGTTCCAAACAACAACTTTCTGATGATATATCTGCTATTATTTCTGTATTCATTTCTACAACATGAGTTTTGGGTACAAAAATGTTATCTTCAACATTACTCTCCACCTTTACAGTCTTTTCAGTATTTAGAGAAAAACTAGTAATTTTTATTTTGCCTGCAATAACCTTAATAAGACCATACATTTGAGGATGATCATGAAGGGGCAATTTCATTCCAGGTTTTAATACAAAGATTCCCACACTCAGTACATCGTTTTCGTATATATTAACGTATGTTACAGGTGCTTTGTGAGGACGATTCCACAAGGCGTCTGACATAAACAAAGGATCAAAGCCTACGTCTTCCGCAGTTATTCTTTCCAACATTGTCTTTAATAACGCCAAATTTGAATGAAAAACACCTTTTATTTCATTCACACTTGAAAAGGTTGTAAGAGCTTGCCGCAACACAGAGCCAATTTGAGTCACTACAGCTTTTCGAAACATTTTTTACGATCGTTTAAAAAAAACTGTTCAATGTTTTAGTGAATAAATGAAAATTTAACTTTATATCTACCTCATGGACACTGCTTTCAACAACTTTTCACGTCATTTGTCATAAATATTAATCATTTTAAATTGTTTTAAATAAATATTTGTCACATATGTATCTTTTGTGACGTTTATAATCATTTTGACTTGACAGTTACAAACATAGGTTACAAAAATCTATGGTTAAAAAAGTAAATTCAACTTTTTATGGATGGAAAAAGTCGAACAATGAAATCGATTACAATTTTTTAAAAAAAGTATACCAAACTCAAATCCACTTCTCTCTTTTCTTTTTTCTTTTCATTTTAAGAAAAATTGAAAAAAAAATGACAAAATAACACTTGTTCGTCAAAGTCACATTCAATATTTAAATTGTTATTAATAACTAATTATCAACAAATAATAAAATTGCATCAACAATAATCAACAAATCGTCAACAATCGTGATACAATGCTGATACGGTAGATACCAACTATATACCAACTCAATATAGATAAGCAATTCTCTAATAATTTAAAGAAATATATACTCAAAGATCATCCATAGATAAGACATATACAAAATCACAAATTGGAGATTTTAATAATTTAATTTTTAGGATCTACTTTAATCTATAGACGTGTTCAGCCGAACTAAGTCCTTAGTGAACTTAGTAAGTGCTTAGTAAGTTTCTAAGAGTGAGTCGATGACCAGGACACTTCATAGTTACTAATAAGAAACTTTTCTTATATCATCATGTCGACATATTAGTTAGTATTTCACGGCTATTGGGGCATAAAATTTCGAGGCAGTAAACCAAAAAAAAATCAAAGTAAAAAGTAAATTTATTACTACTTATATAGAAAATTACGTATAAAAATGAATGAAGTAATTTTATTATTGTTTGTCCAGTATGAATACACTGATGCTATTTATGGCATATCTGTAACTTAACTTACTAATTTTACTACGGACTGACTTAGGACTTAGTTCAGCCGAACACGTCCTACCTTCTACCTATAATACTATCCATATACTTTCGATCCACTTATACATATATGCCCATAGATAATAGTATATGCCACTTTATATTTCTAATCTATCATCATCATTATCTATTTCGTTATCATAAACAGATATAAACAAATAAGAAAAAATTTAAAAATCACGGATAATTACAAAGAAATTTTTTGTTCATCTTCTAAATCATGTGGTTTCATGGCATATAATTTTTGTTTGTTGGATTTAACTGCATAATATCAGAGAATTATTAATTTTCTTTTTCATGTGCATGGCAGGAAGACTGATTCTCAAAAATTCGTTGCCATCAGTCACACATTATGATATTAATACTCAACCTGTTTTAACCGATTTGGGAAAGCCCACTAAGAGAGGCATAAAAAAGTGCTTTAATTGCGGTATCTATAATGGCACAAGGGGTTTAATATGTAAAAATAAAAAGTGCAACACTCCATTCAAAGGCATTAATTCAGAATGTGATTCAAGCATTGATGCAATCAGATTAATAACAGGAAATACAAGACGAGTTTATTCTGTCCTTGTGAAAGAAAAAGGTCCACATTATAGGGGTTTTGTACAACTTCCATTTACTGAAGATGGAGAAGTCAATAATAGAAAAGTTGCATTGTGTTTTGTTGATTCATGCCAACGTTTATTTGATAATTCAATTCTGAAATGTCACGAAAAGAAGCACAATGATTACCAGCATGATTCATTTTGTACTCATATTGAATCAGCATTTAAGAGTGTACATGTTGCTAAAGCTTATGATATAGATAAAAATACACTAAGTAAACTGGACTTTTCTGAAGAAATAAAGTTAAGGTTACTGAAACTTGCAGATGAAACTATTGGTACTGTAGTTCAACAAGTTTCTAAATCAGTAATGGCAGTTAAATGCCATGTGAGTTCAAAATATCCTTTAGGATATCTGCACTTGACTTTTATAAATTGCAAAAGAAAAGATATTTTTGATAAATATTCTTGTAATTGTAATCAATTTAAAGGTACACTTTAACTATCCAACTTGATCTTTTTTAAGTAATATTTTTTTAGATCATACTTGCAGTACAAATGCAGACCCTAAATGTATTCACTATTATGCATGTATTTGGGCTTTTGCAAATTGTCCTTCATTACCAAAAGAATTCATACCAATTGTAGCTTCAGAAGTGCCTTATTCCTTTGGTGAGACCAATTTTAAAAGAATTTATATTTATAACTCTAGAAGATTTTACTTTTTACAATAATTTTAGGTGAAATTAACTTAACTCATGGTTTATTGAATGATTGCAATAAAAAGAAGTTAAAACGAAACAGAAAAAATAAGCTGAACATTGTAGAGGTAAAACTGGTTTAAATTATTTTTGATTTACTGTAATATTTTCATTTTTAGGGACCGTTAAATAAAGAATGCTATAATATCAAAAACAATGTCAATAACAATTACACTTATCTTAATAATAATTTAAATGATTCACTTTTTAATTTAGAAGAATATCAAATACAAAATGATTGTGAAAGTACAGAAAAAAGATGTAAAACAGATGAAAGCATCCCTGAACTTGTCAAAGAAATTCCAAATGTTAATTTTGTTGAGTGGCTGAGCTCAGTTACAGAAAGAATTAATATGTCTCTTTCCAGTCATAATATTGACAAATCTATAGAGCATTTAGAATTTCAAATTCCAGAAGTAAAAGCCTTCAATATTACTCGAGATATACTTTTAATAAATTTTATTTTTTAGACATTTTTTGACTCACTAAAAAACAGAATAAATCGGGGTAGCGAAATTTCTCGCCAATCATTTTTGTCCAACATTGCAGTCACTGAAATCAATCAAATTCAACATCTATATGATATTTTCAGTGCTCATCATTTGAAAGAAATTTTTGACACACCACAAGTATGATATTTGCATAGTCTATATTCTAACCCAGAACAACAACTAAACTTACGCCTCGTTAAATTATCTTATTATTAGTTAATTAAATGTTTATTTAATCTGACAAAAATTGCATGTTGAATTAATAGCATTAACTTAAAAATATTATAAGTGATTTTTTAAATGTTCTGAATTGTGTATGTCATTCACATAGTCAAAATCAACCACTGACTAAAATTTATACTCAGGACTGAATTATGCTTTGTTCACAACTTATGCTTCGGATAATTAAATCAAGACGACTTTTCTAACCACGACCTAATCTTTAAGAGGTCATCATCAGAAGCCAGTCTTTGCATTTTCCGAAACCTGTAACAATAAAATGGAAATGAATATTTTAATTCTGAGCAAAAACTGCGGACAGTGACTGATTTTGACAGTTGCGCATAATATATATTTGCGTAGATTAAACTGTTTTTGGCTTTCATTAATTGTTGTGCTCCCTCTACTTAACGCTCTTGGTGTCAGGCTTTGTTTTTTTATTATAAAAATATGTTTGTAGGTATCCCTGTGCTTAGTAAAAACTGTCGTGCTGAATAAAAATAGTATTGTTATGTACCTGCAAGTCGATCGTCAACAAAAAATCAACAACAGTAATATATTTTCTATACAATGGAGCCCTAATGTTTTACCAACGTCCAAATTTGGAATTCTTAGACTTAAGTTTAAAATTGGAAAGTTCAATTAAAATATACCAAAGATTGTGTGTTATGTTGTAATTAAAATGAAGAAGTTTATTTTCCATTAGTTTCATTATATAAAATATTTTTCATTTTCCATTTAGTAATGCAATTAGTAAAAAAGGAAATGCAATTAGTAAAAAAGGAATTACTTTTATTTATACTTTATGAATCAATTCCAAATAATAGTTGAGAAAAAATAAGTTTTTATTTCCTTCACTATTATTATTTGGCCTTATGAGTTTCATCTTCTGTGAACCAGTCTTTGTACTCTATTAATTTAGATGCCCACTCCTCTCCTAGTTGTTTAATTGTACTTTCTCGTCCGCCATATTCTATAGGCAAAATTTCTTTCGGAATTACCCTATGTAATGATTCAATTCCTGAAAAATGAACTCTAACTCTTTTCCTTAATTTCTCGCTCATAAAACTTTTGAAAATATTCAGTACAACGTTAATGTATAGAGGCGCGTTAACAAATTCCAAATGTTGCGGTCTTCCAGGATAATTTTGCCAAGCGTGAACAGTTCTTTTAATCATGCTTGTTGTGAGTTGTCTATAATGGCCAAAAGAAATATTTGCCATATCGAAAATAGCTGAAATTCCGTACACAGAAGCACTTGTAAAATTCTCGCGTATGGCTACATCTAATACCATTTTTCCTGTTTTGAAGACATCGTCCTGTGCATGTCTTCTGGGGTCATGAGCTGCAGTTCTTATTATAACGACCAATTTATTGTTATGATACTTTTTAAGTGGTAAAAATATGCCAAGTTTTACCAATTCCTGAATTTCTGGGCGAGAAGGGTCTCTTTTCGTAAACCATTCGGGTACTTCTTTTCGCATGATGTAGTAATTTCTCATTTTACTTTTCGCTGTTTCTACGTTAAATTTGGCAACTCGAAGAAATGCTAAAATCGTTGTGTCGTCTCTGTGGGCATTTAAATGTGGATTTTCAAGTATCCATTGCCTTAATTCTTCGATATAGAGTTCTTCAGAATCACAAAAACTCAAACATATACTTTCATCGGCCGAAGACATGGTTAATTTTTTACAATACTGTTTATGAGAGTGGAAATATTGTGGTGTACATACGTTTACTCAAACTCCATTTTGGTAATGGATTTGAATGGTCATTTACTATAAATTTACATATCAAATGGGCATGTAATATTTACTCGCACTTTGTACATTTAATATGTTTATAAAAGTTTCTTTATCAGCAATAACGCAAACTTAACTATTCTATGAATTAACAATGCAAATATGTTTCATTTATTGTGCACAAACTCCAACCGTCCAGTAATTGTTCACTTTTTACTTACTTGATAAAAACTTTCAATTAAATACCTAATTTTAGCAAGTTTTATCACATACACTTAAATGTATATATGTGTTGAGATATGACCGTACTTATCTACGGAGTGTACAAACAATAGTTGCAAATCATTGTATTTACGTTTATTTATTGTAATCTATCGCGTACAAAGGTTTTTCTAATATAGCGTGTTATTATGCAGTAGAAAAAAAGAGTTTGTTATATATGTATGTATACGCATGCATTTAGTAGTAATTAAATTTAATGTTAATACGGATTTTGTGGACGAGTTGCATTTTACGTAGGAGTAGCATATTATGTTATACGCTCATTATGTGATGAAGGTCAACTAGAAAATCTTTATTAACCGTTATTTATACACTTCACGTGTACACTTGGCTTTCGAATACGAGATTTCAGCCAAGAAATAAAAGTAATTGTGCATTTGTTCTGAAATATCAAATAGTCTCATCTGCACGCTGAATGATTATAAAACCTTGAGGAAATTATCAATATTTATTTCAATAAAAATAAATAACATTAAGCGGCAAAAGATTCATTATCATTAATACGAATGGAGACAATAGATAGTGTTTCTTTAAAAACGGAAACAATAAGTTAAATAGCATTTTTTATCAATAGACAAAATACAAATGCGGTACACCCTACCCATATTGCATCCAGGATATCTTTGTCAACACCGGATTTCTATAAAAGTTAATAATTTATGGAAATATAAAACTAAAAAGGAGTTTTTCAAACATACTTTTTTGAAGGCCGCTGTTTGCAGTTATCAACGCTATTGTAAAACTTCCGTAACAAAATCGCCGCATAACACATTTAAAAAAATGATGCTGCTAATCATGTAGGTACAGTATAAATTCCATCTGCATAATTATTTAGTAGTTATATATACGTACAAAATAATTATTATGTATTTATTTAAACAATGTTTTCGATTACGTGCTACCCCACTTAGGCGTGCGCTCAAAGCTCCAACAGAAGCATAACTTCAAAAATTAAATGCATCATGTTTGTATCTTATAATTAACATTTATTTCTATTAAAACTGTGACATGCAAGTAGCTAATCTCAAAAAAAGGCTCAATATAATATTTAAAGAACATAATCTAGTTCATATCTAATATATTGATTTTTAGGATCGTTATTTATTCTGGGATATCCGGCTACTAAGGCGTCCTGTCCTCCAATATAAAGGGAATTGTAGATTTTCCAATACACATCACGCACTTTTCTTGCGGGATGAAATAAACCCTAAAATTTTCACTTCATTAAAATACAATCCAATCATTTTTAGAATATTAAAAGTTGGTTGGTTAAATTTAATTTAACAAAGTTATACTTGTTGATTTAATCCCTTAAAGCGGTAAGATATTAAAGCATTATTTTTGATAAGGTTTCTTTTTAATGTAAATAAGTTTAAAAGTAATTTACCTAATGCTCGTCATAAACAAACTACTTAAAGCTAGAAATAACTACTTAAAACTTAATTTAATTTTCAATTAAAGTAGGATATATTTGTTCCTATATTATTTTCAATTGATAATAACTGACGCAATTGTTTTTAGTACCAATACAAGAGAGCGTAAACTTACCTGTAATGTGTATTGTAATATTTTGATAGGGCCCAAGGCGACTCGCATACCCTCAATAGCGTCCATAAAGGCTTGTACAAGATGTGGCGACGTTTCGAATATATTTGGCCATACGTAGTTCAACAGATGTACAAGTGCATCTTCACATCCAAATCCATACACTCCTAGTGCCATGTGTTTAATAGCAGCACAAGCTGTTTGACGATGTACCAGGTCACGATCCATTAAAGCGTCCTCTAGCAATGGTGTCACTGCATAAATATAATCCTTACCCATTTCACCAATGTACTCAAATAAGAATGATAACGATTTCAGAACACCATTTTGTACATTCAGTTCTGGTACTCGATATTCGTTCATCAACGCGGGTAATACAGTAAACGGTGAACACGTTTCTGCCACAATAGCAATGGCCACCGTTGTACAAACACGATTTTGACGTTCTTGAACCTTCAAATTATTTAATAATGTTGCCAGTACATCATGTGGGCCTATAGCTTTAGCAATATACCCAAAAGTGTTAACTGTGGCACGCCGAATGGCTTTTTTATGTGCTTTGAGAAGTTCTAAAAGTTCGAAACAGATACGCATCCATTCACGAGCAGACACATACTCCGGTCCACGATCAGCTATACGGCCTACCAAGTCAATACAATTTTCTTGTACTTTTTCATGCCTATTTTTCAAAATTGGCGTGAGACGAGGCAAAAGATCTTTAATGGGTGGTGTCATTTTTGTCATACCAATCACGTTCACGATGGCTTTAAGTGCACCCAAAATTGAGCCTAAAACTTCGGGATATTCTTCACCAAGGTATTCATATAAAACTACACCCAAGTGACCCATCAATTTCTCTTCCTGACAAGTCTTCATTACCACAGCTATTCTTGAAATTAAGTCAGCAGCTTGTTGTCGAACTTTGGCAGATTTATTGTTCAATCTCCACAATATTGTACCACATATTTGGGGTAAATAAGGTTTAACGCGCTTTCCCAGTTGATTCACGATCGTACCAAATCCGTTTAACATAACCACGTCCTCCGTCGTTTGTTCTTGAAAAGCGTACAATATTCCATCTATAAGTTGTTCTTCAAGCCTTGAATCTATATCAGCTGCGCCTAAATTTCCCATAATTTTTTCTATGCTCTCCATTACCATTTTTCTATATTGTTCATTTTCGTCCTTAAGATCGTCAACAATACGATTAATAATTTCAGATGCACCTACTTTATTGGCGATTTCTACTGTTGTATCGACTAGTTGACGGTAATTACGACGATCGAGGGCCATGCGATGATTCCAAAAATGTTTGAAGAATTGAGGTAAAATTTCTTCTTTAATATATTGAGCTTCCACACCATCAGTACCACAACACTGTTTAACGACTTTTAATACAATCTTCTTCATTTCTTCATCAGGTGACTGAAACTCTCTGATCAAAATCAACATTACTTCTCGGGTATAGTAGTTAGCATATTCAGCATCCATGAGAGGAATTAAGTACCCAATAGCTTTCAAAAATGCAGCCAAACCTTTACCTCTATGTGTACGAATACCTTTCCAGAGGGGTTTTAGTACAGAGTCAAAACTTTCGATTCCATATGGAGTTGCAGCTTCGGCTAAAGCAGCAATTCCAAGAGCAGTAATAGTACGTACCTAAAGCAAACAAATGGAAGTAAAACATGTTTAGCTATTTATAATTCCAATAGATTCTGGGGTAGATTAATAATTATTTATGTAATACAAATTAAGAGTTAAAGACCGAAAGGTAGAAATATGTGTTAGAGCTTTCTAAGTTTTCGAGTCTGCATTAAATAAATAATTATAATGAAATTGTATTGTACCAATAAAAAAATATTTACTTTTTGCTGTTCATCAACCAACCCATGCTCAATAATCTCTACAAGCGACTTTAAGTGAGGCAAAATAGCACATCCCATAAGAATAGCAATTTGCTGAACAATCTTGATACCCGTATGTCGGGCTTGCCATGACTTTTTTGAACGGCAAACAGCCTTCAAGAAAGGCAGTAGAGAAGGAATACCAAGAGCAGATGCTACAACAGCAAAAGCCCGCGCTGTGGTGTTCCTCACATACTCGTCGATATTATCGATATCAGGTCTCATGGTTGAAATCATGGTGGCCAATCCTGCTGCTTTAGCTAAATTGGAAATAATTTCTCGGCCTTCAACACGGGCATAATAATCTTCATCAATAAGAAGAGGCTCGATTACGACCAAAATTTTATGTACATACGGACGTACCAAGTCGTCCAATTTGTATAAGATGCGATCAATAACTTTAACAAGTAAATGGCGTTCTTGATCTTCAAGTGTAGGACTCATAAGTAATGGGAGAATCTGGTTAAAAAGGGGACCCGCTCCGAACTCACGGGCTTTGTCAGTTATTTGACGTAGAGCTGCTTTACGCATAGGCGGTGTGCCGTTTTTAATTTTTAGGAGCAATTTCATTATTTTTCGTTCTTTTTGCTCCTCAGGACTGAGGGCTTCTTCATCTACATCTACAAGAAGCTTATCGAAATATTGAGCATCCTCTGGTTTCATAAATGGTAAATTCTGTCCTTTTGGCTGGTTGTCAAGATATTTTGCCGTTTTATCTTCAGTCTGAATAAAAAAACCAGTCGGTGTACCCATTATGGGAGTTGGAGTAGCAGTCAATTTGCGGGCTGGTGTTCTGTAAATATAAAAGCAAATTTAGTATAGTAATCCATAAAAATTCTCACTACACTATTTTGTATTAAAAGTTTTATACATTTAGTTTACCTGATCGGAATATATCCAGCAGGAGGTGGTAATACCTTATATCCCGGAGGGAACATGGCATCTAGCTCTTCATCACTATACGGCCTATTGCGCTCATCTATCTCCCTTTCCCATCTATATGCTTGCAATTGTTCAGGTGTCATGGCAGCTAGATGACCTGGAGTAGGTGTAGCCATTCCCATCGCCTTTACCCCGACAGGTGTTGAACCACCTGGAGTAAGCATAGGTGTTGCATGACCTGGTGTACCATGTGGAGTTTGGGGCGTCATGGCGCCTGGTGTCATTGCGGGCGTGGGGGTCATCTGAGCAGAAGGTGTTTCATCCCAACGAGATCTACGTTTGGAAGCGCCAGGTGTAGGAGTTTCCTGGATAAGATCAGTGCCCGTTCGATCGGTTCTGGGAGTCTCAGCCCAACCGCTGGAGTGGCCAGGAGTTTCTCGCTCGGTTTTAGGTGTTTCATCCCATCTATTTCTACGAGAGATACTTTTATCGTGGCCAGGAGTTTCACGACCCGGAGTTGCTGCTCCTGGAGTTGCGTGACTAGGCGTCGCATCCCAAATTCGAGTAGATTGTCCAGGTGTGGCTCCTGGAGTTTCACTTCCTTTATGTCCTGGGGTATCATCCCAGCGATGGTCTGCTGGTGTTTTCTGCAAAATTCATTTATTCCTACATATTTTATTTTTATGTAAATTGATGTATATAAATTACATCTGTGTCCCAGATTGGTGTTGCTGCTGCGCTATTTGTAGTTACAGACAAAGTTTTTTTCTTTGGGGGCACTGGACTTTCTTCTACAGTTTGATCCCAACGTCCTCGCTTTTTGGATGTTATTTTGGCTTCACCATTCGAAACCTTCAGCGAACCATCTTTAGCTTTTTCCACTATTTTTTTTCGTACCTACAAAAGAAAATAGGAATGGTCATGAAGTCCTTTTATAGTAAAAAAGAACAATTCATGCCAGAAATTTTTAAATGTGAAAAAAATGTGATATTAAATAATTACCTCGTTTTCTTCTCCTTTGAGCAGTTGCTCCTTCATAATCTGCGTGTAACCCCTTGCATTGAAGTCGGGTGTTTTTCCACCTGTAATTTCACGTGCATTAGAAGTTAATTTAGGAAATTGTGGCGCATTGTTTAAATTAATTTTGCAGTATCTGTTCTTGTTTTCTAATAGGAGAAGTGTATCGATATGCACACGAAATCCACTCGGAAAGTAATACTACAACAATTAAAAAACAAAGTACACTTCTACCAATGAATTTTTATCAAAATGAAAATAGTAACACATTTTCTTCTAAACTGTAATTTGAAATTGAATTACTATAATCATATTTCTGTAAAACCTACCCTTTTCCAATTAATTTAAAGCAATTGAAGCATTACATATATTTAAATTATATGAAAATTATGTGAGTGAATCTCGCAGCAAATCGTAATACGTACGTGATGACGGTTCCTATGTCAAGTACAGGCAGCTTCTTGCAAATAAACAGCACTTAGCGAACCTAGAAATATGCTGGGGTGATTAATAATTTTCTTATCAACACACACACTCAATCACTCTCGTGTATTTTTTACCAATATCTAGAACAGATGGTCGGTCCATATCTAGCTGTTCAATCGCTGAAGGCTGTGGTTATTGCAGAACCCAATGAAGAACAAAATAACATTAGTTTTTGTCTGTCTCTTTGATAATTAGTTTATTTATTTTTTTTACCAGAACGATTAGATGATACCCACTTTCTCCTTACCATTCAACTTTCTTTCATGCACCCCAAGTAAAGCAACTTTTTCCAATGTATAACTTTTACAACCTGAACATTTATAGAGTAATTTCTTTTATGTAGAAAAATACATATAATTATTAACATAAAGTAATAATAAGAATCAATTTTAGTTATACATTTACAACATTGAAAAAAGTTACCAAAACAAACATATAATTCAAGTCTAATTCTATTAAATTCTTGTCACTTTTGAAAGCAATAAGTAATTACAAATAAATAATACATTTCTATTGCAAAAGCTACTTATAAAATCAAATTTTATAAATTTATACTATAAATTGCAAGATTAAAGTAGTTATGACAATGAAATATAATCATAAAAACTTAAATAGTACAAGAAGTCATTACGATTATTTAGTTACTTACCATCTGCAAATGGATCAACTCTTTCAGGAGATATTATCATCCGTCTTCGCTTCTGACGATATTCATCTTCTCTATCAGCAATAGTGGGTCTCCGTCTTTCAGCAAGGGGATCAAAATCTTTGTCCACCTTAAATCATAGTTCTTAGTTAGTATTGTATACATATTACAGGAAAATGTAGACATAATACTTGTGCAACATCGTTGAAAAAGGCCACAGAAGCACCAAGTCCGGCCCTTTTTTGGGGAAAACTGACGTCTTCTTCATCATCGTCAACTTCGTCATTAGCGGCAATAGAAGTCACATAACCTTCGTATTTACTTTTTCCACCACCTCCATCATAAATTTCGCTATCAAAATATCCGCTTTCTCCCAGTCCTACTCCTTTATCTCCATCGATTTTCACTTCTTTCTTTTTTGTTTGAATTTCACGTATCTGGGCTTCGATATCTAAAATAGCATATTAGAAAACTAACTTTTTCTCTATAAATTAATCAAAATCATACCTTCATGTGTTTTAGGTATATTTTCCATGATTAACAAATTCTTATGGTATTTTTACTAATTTATTACAGCAAACAACTTTTTACGCCACACTTTTCTATTCATGCAATTGCAAGATGGCGGAAGCCACAGATAATATGTATACATCCATAGACATATATTAATGGACGTGCCTTAGCCGTTTGTTGTTGTAATAATTTCTTGATTCGAAAAGTGAGGGAGATGGCGTATGGTTTCGGACTAGTGCTAACTCTTTCATGACACGCGTAGGCACTATCGGGAGAGAGATGGATATTGTCCGAAATTTCGTTCCATCTCTTTCTTTTGTTGTACCACAATTCTGACCGCTAAGGCATGTCCATTAGTAAACGTCGATGTTAACATCGTTCCATCTCTTTCTTTTGTTGTACCACAATTCTGACCGCTAAGGCATGTCCATTAGTAAACGTCGATGGTATACATAGGGTAAGCCGTAGAATATAGGCCATAGATATGACCATAGACAAAAGCGAAGCGAAGATCAAAGACTTGAAAAAGAAAAGAGAAACAATGTGACCGTAGAGTATACTTTTAGAACGGAAAAAATAACGCAGTGGGTGTTCTTTCACCGTATGTTTTTCGAAAAATTATTAATAAAATTAAGGTGCGTATTTACTATACTAAATTTGACATGTGGTATTTGTCTGGTTTAGCAACCATACCTCCAATCACCTTGAATTTTTAGTATGTTATAGAGGTGAATATGCTGATTATTTTCATATGTATATGTTGGGCGCGGAATTCATAATGAAGCATAATTTTCGAAGACATTATTCCAATATATCATCCCGCCTCTGCATATACGGCTCCAAACCAAACCTAACCTAACAATGACGTCACTAATGCATGTACATCTCCAAACAGCCCGCCGTATTATTACCTATTTTATATATCACATGCCACCACATTGTTTTTCAACGTTCAAAAACCATGCTTCATTATCATTTCCGCGCCCAACATATACACATCAAAATGATCAGCATAATCGCCTCTACAACGCGCTAAAAATTCAAGGTGATTGAAGGTGTGGCTGCTAAACTAGATAATTACCCGAGATGCTTTTATTTGTCTTGCATCTGTCCGAGCTGAGTTTATAAATAATAGATGAAACTAGTTTAATCTTAGATTGGTAATAATAATAACTATTATACATATATTATAGTAATACAATACAATTAGTGATAACAGAGGACGTGCATTTGATGTAAACTTTTAGGGGTCGTTAATATCACCTTTATTAATAAATACATGTCTCTTTAGAGCGTCCCAAAATACTAAATGTAAAACAGTATGGGGACCTAATCGTATATAATTTGGTCCTATACCTTTGTAAAATCCATAAACTCCCTCGCTTTTACAGATTTTTATTGTACAGTCTAAATACCCGCTATATAAAACACCTCTTCCACTAGAATCGACAGCTAAAAAATTGAATTATATTAAACCTATATTCAATAATTAATACACAGCACATAATAAGTATATAATACTTACGTTGATTGCAAATTCGAGTTAATATTAAATCGCAAGGATTCATTACAACCGTCACTGCGACTCCTCCAATCATCGCGGCAAAAAAAGACTTTAATATTGGTGTATTATCTAGGATAGAATAACGATCTAAATACTGTTTCGCATAAGAAAAAGATGTTAACTGGGAAGTTGAACCCAAGAATCCACGAGGTAGAGATGCTCCTGCACCTCTGAAAAGACCTTTGATCTAAAAAGAAGTAAGATACAAAAATACAAATACTGTCCAATATAATTTACTTTCTACTTTGGCACTGTTTAATTATTAATAAATGTACCCCTTGTTCTTTAAAAATGCTGTTGAAAGCATGAAGAGTTCCTTGATGTTTATGCTGATGACCTACAGCAATCTTCTCAACAGCTTGAGATTGAAGATGTGTTTTTATAAGGTACATTGGAGTGCATACATACTGCCCTATCATACCGCAAATTCCTCCAGCAATCACAGTGTTCGTGAATACCATTTCATTATTTTTGTCAGTTAAGAGACCCCTATTTTGACATATTTGATAAAGTCCTAAAATCAGAAATGAAAAGAGGGTCACTTTATGGTAAAAGTATAGGTACCTACTTTAAAGATATAGTGTAATTAATTCATGCAAAAATATTGTTTATTAAACGCTATGTGTGATCTGTTACCTAATCTGGTACCATTCATAATAAACTGTACCCACAGGGCTGGTATTAATCCTTTTTGTAAAGAAAAAATGCCGTCATTTTTTACAATGTTATAAGCAGCATGAAAAATATTTCTGTAATGCACTGTATATTGCCCTTTAGCTTGCATTTCGCCTTGTAGTTGCATTCTAGTTTTTAAAACTTCTAAAGGATTAGTAAAAAAACCCGCACAAACTGCCGATAAACCGCCAATAGCAAACTCCATTTTTTTATAAGTACACCCTTTTTCTTAAATATGTGAAAATAATTCACAAATATACTAATTATGATTGTAACATAAAAGTTAATTAATGAATATGCATATTATGAAATTTAAAGCCTTGGTTAATATTATCTTATCGATGTTAGGAACGTAGTTATTATGTAAAGAAGAATTTTGATAAACAGCTTTCCAATTTACACAGTAGATAAATAATTTTAATAACCCGTCTTTTATAAGTTAAGAGAAAATCTAATTTAGTGTACATTCCAAACCACTAAAATTTATTGCTTTATTTTGTGAAGTTTGGAAATTATATATAAGAAAGTGTAAGTTCATCTGCAAAATAATATAAAATTTTCGACGGCATGCCGACGACTTTTTTGTGAAGATAGTAGGTATCATGGATAAAAAGAGATACAGACGAAATGGACCGAGAAGAGTTCTATAATTATTCATATTTATATTAATATATTAAATATTAGTATAAAAGCTATCCGGAGTAAAAGCAGTATATATAAGAATTTTGTATTTGTTTCTTGTCGTCTGAAGAAGCTACAATATATGTGGAGAAATGATTTTATATTCAACTTCCAACTGGAGTCATTTAATTTTTTGTTAAATAAACGCAGTAATGAAGTTTTTCGCGAAATTTAGCAGATTTCTATCCATATCTTCCTTAATTTTATTTCTTTCAAAATCAATACTACTTTAAACGTAACATCCGATGCTGAGAGAAAGAATGATTCCCCATTTTGTTGATTGAAATTCTAGAGCAACAAAAAATGAAGGATACAAGTTGAAGATTGAATATAGTGTTACCTAATTTTGTAATGAAAATAATCAGCCAGCAATTAACTGCTGGAAACTTCGTCACTGTTGGTTGCGCGCAACATGACTTTCGCCTATGAGTGCGGTACTTTTAGGGGGTGGCTGACGGTTTTTCCAGGCATTGATTGGTGGCTGATGGTTAACTTTTCAATTACTATGTTAAACAGTAAAACATATCCAAAAATGAGCAGAGGTCAATTTTTTTTTACATTTTATAAAATACATATTATTTATTTATCTGATTGACTGGCATATTTTCCAGTTACATCCGAGTGGCTGGTGATTTCAGTTGATATTTATATATTATAAACCATATGCTCATAAAGTTTAGAACATTCATTTTTTTTACAAAATATTCAAAAACTCTTCCCTTTTGCATCTACCTCCAGGCGACTCGGAGGGCTGACGTTATATATATAATGTGCGAAAGATCCTTTATTGGAGAAAACATAAACGAACCGAGGTCAAATCATTGGCCCCAATTGCATTCGCCTTTCGAACTATTAATAAGGCAGTGCACATCCGATTTGCCACATAGGGAAGGAGATTTTGTTTACAACGCCGAAAATAATATGTGGTCGCTCACTGCGCACTGAACGCTTTTTCTATCCATATTAGTAAAAACGCTAACACCATAGGCCAAATTAGCACAGTCGGGCTGTATAGGAGATACTTCCTATTGGTTATGTTATTAGTTTTTACGAGTTCACTGGTTATTACATATGTCTATGAATTATTTGATCCAATGGATACACTCTTACGTGTTAGGTCTATGGTGTGAGGCATGGCATAGATGTCTAAATGTCATTCATATGTCATTATTATTATAGGTTAGTAAATGGTTAGTAGTAATAATAAGTAGTATTTGTTTAATTTTAGATATTATTTTAAAAATAAGAGTAATACATGGATCCAAAACTTGAAATACGAAAGCTTCAACCGAGTAGTCTTAGGGAATTGACCCAAATACTTGAATACGGTGACTCATGGAAGGAATTAATGGCCATAATCCCAAAAACGCTGGATAAAAACAATTACAGCTGTAATATTTCTTGTGAAAATCCACCAAAATATAACTCAGAACATGTTAGATTAATTGAGAATGCTTCCTTTAAGATGCGCAAAGCTTGCACAGATATATTATTTGATGAATGGGGCACATCAGGAAGAGTCAGACCTGCATTGGGACATTTGTTATATTTACTAATAAAATCGCAATTATTTCGAGCAGCAGATTATGTTGCCATTAATTTATTACAAATTCAACCACCTCCTCGTCCATCTGTTGGCCCAGCAGCATTAGTAAATACTTCATTACCAAACCAAAATTTTCTCAATGAAATTGAAGAATTTTTAAATGAAGCAAGTTATCCATCTTCATTGATATCAAATTTAAATGGCAATGCCAATTCTAGAAGTAATTTACAAGGCAGTGTTATTCCACAAATTATTATAACTAATGTGAATGATAAGAAAAGAAGAGCTGGTCATGTGCATTTTAATAGCGAAGAAATTAATAAAAAAAGTTCTGATTTGATTCATTTTAGTGAAACTGAAAAGCCTTCTAGTTCTGACGAAAGTAATGATATTCCTGCTATTTCAGCTTTATTACTTCAAACAAGCACAAGTAATATGAGTAATTCTATTGATTCAAATCACAGTGAAGTAAATAATATTTTAACAATTGGTAGTATGCATCAGATTGATGATGAAAGCAATAATAACCAAATGGACAATAACAATTGTGATAATGTACCTGCTCTTTCTATTTTAAACATGAACTCTGATAAGTTCAATAAAAGTACAGCAGAAAATAAATTATCTGAAAATATTCCACAATTAAGTACGCTTTTAAATTCAAGTATTGATAATAAGTCTGACAAAGCTTTTAGAAATACAAGCTTAAGTGATATTGATAATAATCTGCCCGTTCTAAGTGCACTCAATATGAGTTTGACTAATTGTAAGTCAAATTCCATCCAATTTGAAAACGACACTGATGATTCTTTTAAAGAAGCCAGTATTGCTCTTAAGGAAAAAATAATTAATGAAAGAAGCCAAGACTTAATCAATTCTGGCTCTCTTCCACATTTAAGTTCATTACTGTGGAGTAAAAGTATTTCAAAGTCCAAACTTTTTATGCCTACTTTAGAAAATGATGAAACAAAATTGAACGCTGAATCATTAAGTGATAGTTCTAAAAATTCAAACACATCTAGAGGTCAGTGTGTTTCTCCTTTACCAAATTTATTGTTAAATACTAAGTTACCGCGATTTACTTATCAACAGTTAGAAGATGCAACAAGTAATTTTGATGAAACACCTCATCAATCATCATGTGATAGAGAAAGTAGCATAAATAATTCTTCTGGACGGTTTTTGGGATCAGGAGCTTTTGGATCAGTTTTTTTAGCACTGGGACTTTTAGATAGGCCTGTTGCTGTTAAAAGATTGTTTTTAGACAATGTTAATGTTGTAAATATTGATGATCCCATTACAAAACAATTTAAAAATGAAGTTGAAATTTTAAGCAAATACCAACATGATAATTTGTTATCATTAGTTGGATATTCTTGTGATGGCCCTACATATTGTCTTCTATATGAATATATACCAGGTGGGGCTCTCAAGGAGAGGCTTCAGGTAACCTACATTACTTTAATTAGTAAACTTCTATTAAATGAAAAGACATTAACTAACATTAGTATTAATTGAATCATTTTAACTGAGAAAAATATACTTTTTTGCTATCTTAATTTGTGTAACTTACTTTAGAACAAGGAAGACAAACTCATGTGGACAGACAGGCTTTATATTGCTATGGGAACTGCTAAAGGCATTTCCTACCTCCATAATGCCTACTCAACTCCACTTATACATAGAGATATAAAAACAGCTAATATACTTTTAGACTGTTCTAATAAACCTAAGGCATGTAATTTTTCCAAACATTTTTTATTGTAATTTTAATTAACATTTTTAAATATAGTTGTATTTTGATTATAGCTTTGTGATTTTGGAATAATTAAACTTCTTCCAAATCAAAATACAAATACCAGCACAACAGTTTTTGGAACATCGGCTTATATGGCACCCGAAGCCTTCAGGTATCTTTTGAATATACCTTTTTATCTTAAAAGTAATTTCTACTTTTTTTTTAAGGGGCGATATATCAATTAAATTGGACACATTTAGTTTTGGAGTTGTTATCTTAGAACTATTAACAAGTCTCCCTCCTTTTGATAGCCAGCGTGAGGATTGTGATATTGTAGGTGCTTTTTACCTTTTTGTATCATAATGTAGCTACACCTCACGTATTTCACAGACAATTATTTATCCCCAAAATATTAGACCAGACGGGTTTAAATGTCAATATTCGGGTATATAGTTGGTTGCATATATGTATATCGCATTTTCGTAATATTGCGTGTGGATTAAATATTATTTGTCGATATACGACACATATACTCTTTCGTACTGCCCAATAAGACTAGAGATAGTAGCAATAAGAAAGAAAGATTTTGCTAAAAGGATTATTTTTTTTTAAAGGTAACACATGTCGAGGGAACATGCGAAAATGATATATCTTTGTTGCTGGACAAAAGCGCTGGATCGTGGATTGTGAAAAATGTGAACTTTGCTGAAAAATTATATGAAATTGCTACAAAATGTCTTTCAGAAAAGAAAAAAAGACCAACGATGACCCAAATTACATCTGAATTATCAGATTTGATAAGTTTTGTCAAATAGAATAATTATATTGTGTATTGTTATACATTGCAGAGGTAATCGAACTACCTGTTTGACCAATGAGTACATTTGAATAAATTAATATATAAAAGGAAACATGCTGGAAAATAATAAGTAAATATTGTAAAAGTTATAAAACACAAGTGAACGGTAAGATTAAAGGGATGGAGTGGATTAACACTTTAAAAAGATATTGGAAGAGATTGGAGAGGGGAGTTTGGGCTAGTAGTAGAAAGGAGATAGGTAGAAGAGGTGGAAGGGTGGGCTGAGCTGACTGAACTAGATTTTAAAGAATAAGAGGTAGAATAAGGATATAAAGTTATAGTTTTAATTTTAACTTAAAGTACTTATATGTAAAATGGAATTACTTGAATAGCATTGTTTGAACCATCCTGGTTGAAAAGTCACTTAAACAAGCATTATATTATTAAATTAACTGTCACTGATTCAACATATAGGTACAATTATTTTAATGTAGGTTTTACCCTCGACTTTGCTCTTGTTTATGTTCATTTTTTATTGATTTTCATATAAAATTATTTAAAAATTGGAAATAATATTTGTTTTTAGTTCTATATACTTCAATTTAACTTCGAACAATTTGCGTATTATATTCTAAAGCAAATTTTCTCTATTCCTGGGGAACAGGTTAGGATCATAGATAAAAGGTTAGGGTGATATTTTTTACTCATTCTTTATGGCTGTGGTATGGCTTTTCTCCCGTATTAATCAGTTGCATATATTTTATTATCCATGAAATATATACTTATTTTAATTTATGTTTGTCTTATTTATGGTTTATATGTATATTTTAGTCTATGGTATGTATCATAGATATATTGTGTATTATTATATAGTATTATAGTATATATCACCATAGATAATTAAAATCACTTTCAAGATCTTTGACCATAAGATGGTTTGTAGATCTATTATCTATGGCAAAATTGTTCTTGTTGAATTAACAAACAATAAACAAAGTTATTATAGCATGAATTGTGTAAATAAATAGATAATTATGAACACAGAGATTATGTACACGTTGTTTTATCTTCTATTAACTGTATGCGTCATTTATCCACCCTCAGAATTTATTTCATTAGGGTTTACAATACCCTCCCTTTTTACATCACTTCTGGGGTCTGAATCGGAGGAATTTATAGCGTATCACATTAAGAGATCAATTTTGACTTTGTTTGTGTATTCCGTGCTTCCTTTAGGATATATTGTTGGCCTTTGGTTTAATGGTGCAGAAGATGTAAGTCTTGCAAACCTAAAACAGAAATTCTGTTGTAATCTTGTTACTTATATTACAGGCTTCTCTGCTTTCATTACATGATCATGTTTTTTGGAAGATCTTTGGCACAACATGTATAATTTTACCACTTCTAGCAGCCTATCAAATTATTTATTGGTCTCGTGACAACTGGAGATATCACCCCATAGCTAAAAATATTTCTCATTTTTGTAACAACAATTCTGATTGGATTTCTGTAGCTTCCAATATTAACAGTGAATTTAGAAGGTGACTTTTTGAGTACTTTTTTTGATAGTAAAAAGTTATTAATTGTGTTTTGTCATTCATCAGTATTGACAAGACCATAATACAAACAAGTTCAATATGTGAAATAGTAGCAACTGAAAACTGGATATTGAAAATCACTCCATTCACTATATTTGTGGCACACCAAAGTGATACAAGACTTGTAGTTAATAAAAGTGATACCCATCATATTTCTCAAAATAATGAAAGAGAAGTTCAATATGTGACTATTGAAGTTAAATCATTTAGAGAAGGTGTAGGCAGTTTTGTAATAAGATTGAATGCAATGAATTTTCGAGATTTACAAAACAGACTTTCACGAACTATTGAAGTACTACCTAACATTATCTTTCACAAAAATATACTGGAGAAGTTTATTGATGCTTTCAAAGAAGAAATTCAGGAGAATATTCGTTACTTAACAAATCAGGTAAAATTATCTCTTTTTTTAATGAAATAAAAGTAATCTTGAGCTTTATATCCTGAAAATGGAATAGATATAATAACCATTATTTTTGTACCATACATTACTAGTAGTAGTATTGATAATTAAAATATTTATTCTTTATATATTTTTGAAAAGCTTAAAGTCTGATTATTATTTTGATTTTGATTTAAAAACTTGTAAGTTTCAGTTATTTCTCTAAAATGATAAAACCTATGATAAACTCTATATTCTGACTTAATTTATGTTGAAAAAGTCTTATCCCTTTTATCAATAGGTTCACCGTTTTAAGGGTGCGTGATTTTTGACAATTTTAATAATGTAACTCCCTATCAATTTACTGAGAATATAAAGGTAAATTGAACATTGCATGAAATGCCGCCAGACCCCTAAGGAATAAACGCTTTTTTCAAATATTCAAGTATCTAAACCACTCTTAATTAAACGTGCTGTTACGATATTTGAATGATGGGCAATAACTTTTTAAATGCAGTTTGTATAATATTTATTAAGTTATTTTATCCGACAAAACATTTCAAAAATATTTGAAGGATGTTGTGATGCTTCAGAAAGTAATGAAAAAGTTCTATTTTATTCTTTGGATGTTATTTTTATAGTGGTACATTTCATGAATATTATTTTCAATTACCATTTTCAAAAATTAATTCAGTAATTTTTAAAGGAATTGGATTCTTGTATTGGGTGTATGCAGACTATAGCAAATGTAAAATTGCAGAAACTCTGTACAGATTCAAGTAATACAGAAAGTTGTGGTACATGTTACTGTAAACCAATGTGGTGTGTTGATTGTATGGCTCGATGGTTTGCTTCTCGACAGGATAATGAGCAGCCAGATACTTGGTTATCTTCAAGATGTACATGTCCTATGTGCAGAGTTAATTTTTGTATATTAGATGTATGCTTAGTTGAAGCTGAGGAAAATTGATTGATATATCTCCACCTTTCTTTACTTTTGTGATGTTATCTTATCTGCTGTATTGAAAATAATTAAACTGCAACTTTTGTTTATCAGATTATTTAATTGCAGGTGCTTTATTTTATGTGCAAAATATAAAGAGAGCTCAAAAATATAAGAATAATTACAATATATAGTCAATAGTATTGCAGGATCATCTGTCATGTATAAACATTTATTTTGTGGATTTTAAGATAATAAAACGAATTATTCAGTTTGTTTGGTTTAATTACTTACAACAATTAGTCGAACAGTGGTCATTTTAAATTGTTTATTTGTTAGTTTAGAAATTGTATAATTTATCTTGAACTTTCGATAAATTTAATTTTAAGTGACTCTTGAAAGATAACTATTTTAAAGAGAATCAAATTTTTCCTAAATCACACTATTAAAAAAACACAAGTAGTCGNATAGAAGGATCGATGGGAAGTGGAGTCTCTGTGAACCAAGAATGCTGAAGAGCATCTTCTGCAGTTACTCTTTGGACAGGATCATAAGTAAGAAATCGCTGTAACAATGCTTGTCCTGCTCTATATATTTAAATATGTTTATATAACAATAAAAAAGATTTAAGTATACTGTACTGTCATATCATTGTATTTTTAAAGCACATAACTCTAAAATCTTACATTCACTATTAAAAATAAATGACTTATTTTTTTACTTAAAATAAAAACAATTTTAACTTTTTTAATCACAGTCTTCACATCACATGAAAATATTATATAGTAGTAAAACGATAACTCTTTTTAAAGTGCTGTATGTTCTATTTCTTTGATTACTTCATCAACGTTTAAATTATCATCATCCTCAAAGTCTTCTTGTTCAGGGTTATTGGTTTTGCTGTTATCTTTTTCTCCATTGGACTTAAATTCGGTAGGTAGTTCATTATTTTTAAGTTTTTCCTCAGTCTCGTTATTAAAAATTTCCTTTACTGCAACACGCTTCTTGTTTTTATGTCGCATCTTTCCACTTTTAGAAATTGATAATCTTCGCTCTGTTTTAATATCTTCTTCATTTGCTTCTTTCTTTCTTTCACCTGACCCAAACCAATTTGAAAAAAAACTTTTTGATTTCGACATTATTCTAATTCAACAACTATTTAATACTCGTTTAAATTTGTATTATATTTCTCATAATTTTGAAAATGGAGTGGTAGTCACAGGCACTTTATTGGCTTTATTATTTCAGCAGTAATAANTATCCCATTAGTGATTTTAAAAAATTGGAAGTCTTTACATACCTTAAAAATTCTATTAAGTTGATCTACTTCTGATTTTCCAGGGAAAATTGCATTCATTGAAAGCAACTCGCCAAAGATACACCCTACAGACCACATGTCGATTGGTGTGGAATACTCTTTAGTACAAAGGAGTAACTCGGGCGCCCGATACCACAAAGTAACTACAATGGGCGTGTACTGTTTCAGCGGCGATCCATATTCTCTTGCCAGCCCAAAGTCGCCCACCTTAAGGATCCCTTTATGGGACAATAAAAGGTTCGACGTTTTCAAGTCTCTGTGTAAAATCCAGTTGTCATGTAAGTGAGATACTGCTGATAACAATTGTTTGAGCAAACATTTAACCTCTCCTGGAGTAAAACTTTGTTTCTTATGCCTCATGGTTTCCATCAAAGACTTTAAATCATGCTCGACATAGTCCATGACAATGAAAATTTTGTCCATATTACTGCCCACTACGATTTCTCTAACGGTTACAATATTCGGGTGTTGTCCCTTAAGTAGTGTATTTATTTCTCTTAAAGAAGTAATGGGAAAGCCTTCTTTTTCTTTTTCCATTTTTAATCTTTTTAGGGCAACTATTTCTTCTGTTCGTTTGTCACGGGCTCTATACACAACTCCATAAGTGCCTTCTTCAATACGATTCAAACACTGAAACTCTTCAACTGATCTACAGCCCTGTAGGGCGGGATAATAAGGGGGCAGATCATCGTCGAAATCAATCTTTTTCTTTTCTTCGTCCTTTGGTTCTTCTTCTGTATCAGACACTTTCACGTCGGTTTTACCATTACTTTTTGGAGATGTGGATGCCGACCTTTCTCGGCTTACGCTTCGGCTGAGTGATCGACGATCTGAAGGGGCCGAATCTTCTCTTGAGGATCGGCTTCTACTCCTACTTCGACTAGGAGTTTGAGTACGACTGCGAGAACGACTTTTCTCGGACATTTCGCTAAAAAAGAGGAATACACAATAAAATTATTGTAAAAGTAGGTAACTTAAATAATGGACGAAATTAAATGTCAATTTATTCAAAAACTATTGAAGATATGATAATTTAATAGACACCAGTTGATTCTGTGTCATTTGTACTTGAAGATTAAACTATTATGTTGTCAAGCTTTTAAACTTTTATTTGTGACCTCTAACAATCGTTTGTTTTTGGCAAATTAGCAATTAATGTCTTGATTAAGAATTCAGTAGCCAACATTTCTTTAAAATAATTGTAAAATAGACTCGAAGTTTATCGATCGGAAACCGTGAATATGCAAAGAAAAATGTTTGTGAATACTTATTTTTCTAGGAAAAACGAAAGACAATGGAGAAGTTTCCATTTTTTTTTATGGATAAATTATCAAAAATTATAAAAGAATAAAACAAACACGTGAAAGAATCGATAAAATATCTCAAGAAATAAGAAAGTTATGGGACTTTAAAGTTGCGCTTGCAAGAATAATTTTGTTACACTCGGCGCTACATCGTGTGACGTCACTTGACCTAAACGACGCCGTACGTATTCGCCGAGTACGTATGAACGTATTGTTGTGTAGAAGCTTACGCCTTACGCCGTTCGATTCGTATTTTGTTTATTTACCCGATGGCAGAAGTTAAAAAAAATACCTACAAATATTATATTGTTTCTATGTGTCAAAGCACAACAGTTAAAAATTAAATAAACACAAACGAAGCAAGACCCTAGCGCGACTCTGAAACTAATACTTGAATGATTCGTGGTGCGGTGACTTCGAATAGGTCGAATGACGTCACAAACGAATCAGAAACCGCAGACGTTCGGTACTAAAATACGTAAACTTCAATAATCTATTTCTAAGTCATTTATTGATGGATTTCATAAATTCTTTCGGTGATTGACTAGTTTTAATCTATATTTTAATACCATTACGTTGAATATAATATTAACAACATCATGAAACTTCTCCATTGCTCGCCACTGCCGCGTTTCGTCGAGAATATTCTCCGATTTATGTAATTTTTCCGCATTATTCATGAGCAAATATGAATTGTATTACATAAAGTTGGTTTTACTTAAAACGGACTTCCAATTTACAATCCAACACATTAAGCAGGCGCAATTCTTGTAGGTACGCTTTTGAGATACACTCACAAGAAAAATAATATATAAAATACTAACGAAAACCGACTCAATGATTTGAGTAACTAAAAGAAATTTGATGGACACTATTGAGTACTCTCCCTGTTCCGAATAGATTTCCGGGATTTTAAGGATGTTTGGGAGGTATGTCAAAATGCTACGAGACAAATAAAAACTTGGAAGAACGTTGCTCACTCAATTCTAAAACTCTTGTAAAAATTACTAATCGATTCACTAAATCGTTAAAAAGTTATTGTAATTTTAAAAAATTGTAATTTTACACGTCATTTTATGGAGATTCGTTAACCGAACAGATTAACTTATCTTTAATTACAGAAAAAAAGCTACCAGAAATTTCAAACTTTTATAATAAGTAANCAATTGAATTTTTTAATGCCTGCTGGTATATCTAAATAATTTTATAGCGAAAATGACAATAACGGCCATCATAATTTTATTAATTTTATTTTGTGCTAATTTAATATTTAATTAATGTTATTAATGTTATAGTACAATATTTTCTATTTACAATACAAAATATAACTGCTTAAAACTTCAAGCTAAAACCTCCTCCCATTGGCATTCGTCTATTTTCGATAACTGTTCCACTAATTCGAAAGCCTAAACTATCTTCTCCGTCTCCTCCCTATAAAAACATTATATTTAAATTTCCGAAAATTCAATCACCTTAAAACGTTATTTTAAATATAGATATAGCACCTACCAGCTCTTTAAATTCTCGTCCACCCGACGGAGGCTTAGGACTGGCGGCAAGTGCTCGCCGATGCCCTAATTCACTCTTTGCAGGCCATGTTGGGAACATAGAAGGATCGATGGGAAGTGGAGTCTCTGTGAACCAAGAATGCTGAAGAGCATCTTCTGCAGTTACTCTTTGGACAGGATCATAAGTAAGAAATCGCTGTAACAATGCTTGTCCTAATTCTGAAAGCATATGAAACCGAGTCCTCAGGTTTGACACAGGGTATTCCGTGAACTTCATCTTCTGAACCGCAGGTAGTTTGTTGAAGCCCGGCCAAATTTTTTCATTGGGAGTCCCCAAATCCTACTTATAAAAATTAATGAAAAAAAAAATAGATATCCCATTAGTGATTTTAAAAAATTGGAAGTCTTTACATACCTTAAAAATTCTATTAAGTTGATCTACTTCTGATTTTCCAGGGAAAATTGCATTCATTGAAAGCAACTCGCCAAAGATACACCCTACAGACCACATGTCGATTGGTGTGGAATACTCTTTAGTACAAAGGAGTAACTCGGGCGCCCGATACCACAAAGTAACTACAATGGGCGTGTACTGTTTCAGCGGCGATCCATATTCTCTTGCCAGCCCAAAGTCGCCCACCTTAAGGATCCCTTTATGGGACAATAAAAGGTTCGACGTTTTCAAGTCTCTGTGTAAAATCCAGTTGTCATGTAAGTGAGATACTGCTGATAACAATTGTTTGAGCAAACATTTAACCTCTCCTGGAGTAAAACTTTGTTTCTTATGCCTCATGGTTTCCATCAAAGACTTTAAATCATGCTCGACATAGTCCATGACAATGAAAATTTTGTCCATATTACTGCCCACTACGATTTCTCTAACGGTTACAATATTCGGGTGTTGTCCCTTAAGTAGTGTATTTATTTCTCTTAAAGAAGTAATGGGAAAGCCTTCTTTTTCTTTTTCCATTTTTAATCTTTTTAGGGCAACTATTTCTTCTGTTCGTTTGTCACGGGCTCTATACACAACTCCATAAGTGCCTTCTTCAATACGATTCAAACACTGAAACTCTTCAACTGATCTACAGCCCTGTAGGGCGGGATAATAAGGGGGCAGATCATCGTCGAAATCAATCTTTTTCTTTTCTTCGTCCTTTGGTTCTTCTTCTGTATCAGACACTTTCACGTCGGTTTTACCATTACTTTTTGGAGATGTGGATGCCGACCTTTCTCGGCTTACGCTTCGGCTGAGTGATCGACGATCTGAAGGGGCCGAATCTTCTCTTGAGGATCGGCTTCTACTCCTACTTCGACTAGGAGTTTGAGTACGACTGCGAGAACGACTTTTCTCGGACATTTCGCTAAAAAAGAGGAATACACAATAAAATTATTGTAAAAGTAGGTAACTTAAATAATGCAATTGTAACATATGCAGTAATGGCTAATTCGCTAGTTAAACGTTCAAAGTGTTTAAAAAAATTAATTTTATAATCTCAACTAATAAATACCTATTTTGAGATCGTGCACTTGAGCTCCCAACATCACTGCACGCACTTTTAACGCTCTTTTCGTCGTCCTCATCTTCAACATACTCAGTTTCCATTTCTTCTTCCTCCTCATCTTCAGAATTATCGGAAATCATTACAACCTGATCTGGTTCTGAACGTATCCTCTTGCTGTAGTGAAGATCTTCTTCTAATTTTCGTTTTGTTTTCTCTAAATGTCTACGCTCCCTCTCTAATCGAGATTGCTCTTTTTGTCGGGCCATTTCACGCTCTAAAAATGCAATTAGTTTATTAATGTTTTAAAAGAAGAGGGCATAGAGTGTTTTGGTAGTTACCAATGTGAAAAAAAAAATAGTTTTGCATAAAAAACAGTACATACCAAATTGTAGGAGACACATCAGCAAAATTTCATTTGGAGTAGGTATTAATAATTTTATTTAGTACAGCTGTTAAAAATTAGCATTAAAGCAAAATTAACGCTAAATATTAAAAATTAGATGATAAAAAAGTTTTACCATTTTAAGAATGCGTGATTTTTAACAGTTTTAAAAATATTGAACATTTTAAATTATTTGATTTTTTATTTTCAGCATCTATTTTATTTCATTGCTAATGTTTAATAACCTCACCAAATCAAATTTTATATATATGTTTCGTACAATTAGTTATTTATTAATTTAAAGTTAATTTTTTTAACAGTGTAATTGTTGAACCTAAGAGCATTAAAACCATCCTACTGGTTTGGAAATTTTCAGAATGAAGTGGATAACTTAACCCATTAAAATAATAATGTTGTTGCAACTGCATCGCATGCAGTATCAATCCTACAACGCCGACTATGATGTCACAAATATTTAGGATTGTAAAGTTAAGGAAGGGAAGGCAACACTCAGTTTGTCAAGTGTGGTGCACATGCAGCGTAGGGTAGAATACTGCATGTAGAATAGCAGAAAAGCTAAATAAAAAAGGCTAACCTGCTTCTAGAAGTTTAACCCTTCTCATTTCTTGTTCTGCTCTCTCTTCTTCTGTTAATTTATCTTCTTCTTTGTGTTTCTCATCTTTCTTGTGTCTTTTCTCATCAGTACTAAAATTAATTATTTCTTTGACATACATGCCTGCTTCCCCTTGTAATGCAGTTTCAATATTTTCACTGTCCTTTTGTTTGCTCTTATCTTTATGAGAATCCTTTTCTGTTTTATATTCATCTTCTGCTTTTGATCTCTTACTAAGTAACCTTTCTCTAAGATCTTCTAAAGCTCTATCACCAGCTGATTTAACTTTCCTCTCTTCCCCATGTCTCTCTCGTCTATGTTTTTCACTTTCTCTCCCTACATGACGTTGCTCTTTCTCCTTAGTTTTCTTTTCATCATATTTTCGGGTTTCAGGATGTCTATTGGAACGTTCATCTTTACGTTCACGATAACCTCTCTCAGTTGCATATTGCATCTCCAAATAGTTCTCATAATTTTGTTTTTCTCTATAATACCTCTCTTTTTCTCTGTGGTAAGATTCTCTTTCTTTAGCTGAACGTAAATGCTTCTCTCTATAAAATATGAAAAGGAAGTCTTGCATTACACAAAATACATCAGAAATTTCAATTCCCTTTCTACAGCTTCATTATTACAAACAAGAATCTACTTATACAATCTTACCTATGATGCTTTTCTCTGTAAGAATGACTTCGTTCTTCTCTATGCCTATCCCTTTTATGTCTACCTTCATGATCCCTGCGTTTCCTACTCGAAAGTTGTACGCGTGCTTGAGGAGGCTTTATATCCAATGAATCGGCTGCCTCTCCATCTTCTTCTGACAAACTACTTAAAAAGGAAACTCCTACATTAAAGCTCATTTGCCAGGAAAGTAAATTAAAAAAATACTTAGCTATCAACATTTATAGAATACGTAACAAAAATCTAGTTTAACAAAATCAGTTACCTGAAGTCCATAACATCATTCTTAATATGTTTACCATCAATAGGACTCTGTCTTAATTCACCATCTTCGCTTTGTTCATCGCCAGAATCATGAGTAGACATTGTTAAAATTTAATTGATTTTATATCACTAATAAATCACCAATTATACTATATTATTTATTAAAGTATTCCAAGTCTTTACCCTTCGTATATCTATTATCAATGTTTATGTACATAGATAATTTGTATACTATAATTTCTATGAACTAGTTCACACGTTCACGGATCTCATAGATCAAAGAAATATATACTATCAAAGTAGAGTCGTGTGAATTTGGCACCCGATATAAATAATTCACTAATTCGAACATTACCAGTAAATTGTGCATCGCTTGCGGGTTCTAAATATATAAGAATTATAATTATGCGTCCATTAGCTCTGTTAAAAAAAGGAAAATTGTTTCGGATACATGTGGAAATTAAATGTCAATTTATTCAAGAACTACTAAAGATATGATAATTTAATTGACGCTAATTGATTGCGCGTCATTTGTGCTTGAAGACTGATCTAGTATGGTAAGCAGGATTGATCTTTAAATTATTTAGTAGTAATAATTACATATACTACTTAATTTTTCATTTATATTATTAATACGCGCGCGCCATTGGTAAATCATAGATAATAATATGATCATAGTAATGTAATTGAAAAGTTAAATATAATTTGTAATTGTTACTAATAAAACATAATTTAAAAATAAACTCCGCTTGCTATGATAGCTCAGTCTTTAAGCACAAATAGTGCGCAATCGAATGGAGGTAATTAAATTATGATATCTTCAGTACGTTTTGAATAAATTGATATTGAATTTCCACGTGCACCCAAAACAATTTTTTTTAAGAAAACTAAGGAACCTAAACGACGCACAATTTATTCCTAAAGTTTAAATCAGAGGATTACTTATATCGGTTGCCAGTTTCACACGACTTATTTAAAGATTTATTATATAATACTACATTTAATAGTTATTCATCATAAAAAATTCCGCTTATCATAATAATTCTGCCTTTAACCACAAATGACGCGCAATCGATTAGCGTCAAGGAAATTAGAATAGCTTTAATAGTTTTCGAATAAATAGATACTGAATTTCTCCTAGCATTCAAAACAATTTTTTTTTAAAACAAAGTTGATGGTTGCGTAATGAATTATTTGTATATGGGGTATCAGATTCACACCACAAAGTTTGAAAATTAATTTAGTCTCATAGATAAGACTAGACTCTTATCTGTGACCACTACCTGCCACACTAGTCATACTATAGTATAGTCACCATAGGATAGAAGAATTATCAGGTAATATCGTCCACCATAGATAGCCAGATAATAGCAGAGATGATAGTCAACATACCCGACATATTTTAACCTAGCTTTCTTAAGTTTTTCTTTGTTTGAGTTTTATCTTTTTTCTTATTTTAAAGTCAGTTAATATCATCCCAATGGAAAAGGAACATAGGAAAGCAATTCAAAGGAACTTTGTTGCTTTAGTAGAAACATGCAATTATCATGCCTTGTTGCCCCTTTTAATAGAGAAAGGAGTATTCACCAAAGATATGATTAAGTGGCAAGTATGTATTTTTCTGTTTACTTATTGTCTGCACTGTGTTCAACTTTTAATTTTATTACTAGAACGAAAATGATGAAAAGGATAAGAAGAGGCAACTGTTTATAAACATAACAAGAAGGGGACCTGAAGCTTTTCATAAACTTATTACTGCTCTCAGAGAAAGCTATCAACATAGTTTAGCAGATTGTTTAGACCCAAGGGACACTCCAGAACAATCAGGTAATTGTGACAGATATTATAAAATATTTTTGGAAACAGCAATATTTTTTTAGTTTCTGATAATTCATCAACCCGACTATTCTTGTACCCTAATAATGGTAATATTAAACAAAGTATAGAGAATGCAAAGGAATTTGAAGACTCTTTCTACATAAATTTACGAACTGAACCACTAAAAGTTGTGGTAAAACTAGCAGAAAAATTTGTTAATAGTTATAATGACATAGCTAACATGCCTCCAATGTATCAGACACAGTCAAAGAATCGTGGAATTGCCTTAATAATTAATATTGTAAATTATTCAGATGAAGCAAGGTACCCTTTCAGATATGGTGCTTATGTTGATGATGCTAATTTAATTGAACTTTTTTCTCAAATGGGACTAAAAGTTTTATCCTTTAGAGATTTAAACAGAATGGTATATTACCTCCAAACAAATTTAATTCTTCAGAGGTTAATTATAACAATTTTGCTTTAAGGATTTAGAGAATAAAATTACATCCTTTGCACATGATCCATTGCTGAGTCATGCTGATATTGCAGTTATTGTAGTAATGGGACATGGCAGTTATCAGTTGAATGACACAACTGTTATTGGTGCTGATGGGAATGAAGTAGAAGCTACTTGGATTGAAGAACAATTCAATAATTATAATTGCAGTTATATGAAGATGAAACCGAAAATATTTATTTATCAGGTTTGCAGGTAATTTTTTCTTTTCTAGTTTTGTTTTTATTATTTTGTGAGCCTAATATAATAATAATACACATCAGAAAATAAAAACTTACATACCTTCCTACTAACGATTATTGTTTTTTGCTTAATTAATAACATGTTCAGATTATGCAGGGCTCTGGTTATACCATGTTCACAGTATACATAGCATATTTTACAAATATAACTATAATTAACACATTTATCCTTATGTATAAGGGAATCCAACTTCTGTTTATGAAATAAATAAATAGATCGTTATTTCTTAACTGTATTTCTAGAGGTCCATTGAATGATTATGGCACATCCCATAGTGTTCCCCGACGCACTGAACATGATAGTTCTGTAAAATCAATTAGAACATATAGTGACATGCTTATTGCTCATTCTACACTGTCAGGTAGAATACTTAACTTATTGTTAGTAACAATGATTACATTTTTTATTACTATTTATTTTCTCTCATATGTACAGGATTTGCATCTCATCGTGATACCAATACTGGAAGTTGGTATATAGAGTTAATCTGTGAAATTTTTATGAAATATTCTTACAACACTGAAGTACAGGATCTTTTGACAATGGTTGATAATAGGCTCAAAAAGATGAGATCTGAGAAAATGACCCAACAAACATCTACATTTACAAATATAGGTTTCAACAAGTGCTATTTTCATCCCGGTATATATTTGGAAGATGGTCTGATAAAAAAGTTTAATGTATAGAAAGTGAAATAGTAGTTACGCACCACGGGGCGAAAGCGGCAATATAGTACCTCGTCTTGTATCATTTACCACCCTAGCCGAAGACCTACTTTTACCCGGAAGTGTGTATACCTATTTTTCGTCGTATGCCTATGTCGGAATTTCGAGTATTCATTAGCCTTCAGGGTTCGGGTAACATCTGCATGACAGTTAACACACAATGCGAAATTGTCCCAGCCTAAATGTAATTGTTTCGGCTTCGTATACAGAGATGAATGTTCTCACTTTCGTCACAGATATGACGGAAATAATATGCAAACGACACGAGCTATACTGTAGCTCACTTTCGCCTCGTGGTGCATAATCTACTATTTCGCAACTAAGTGATATTGTACATAGTATATACAATACGTATTGTTATGCATAAATATTCAAGGAAGAAAACTATTTTAACTGAGAATAATATTAGCCTTATATTGTTTGTTCTTCAGTGAAAGATTTTTTTTTATTTTGGAGAGGCTAAGGCTTATCTGAAAAGGACTCGATATTCGAGCTTCACAGCCGTGGTCCAGGAGGAGACTCCGTCGGCCAGTGAGAAGTTTATGAAACGTTGGATAAACGACAAAATCGATGATGGACTAACTGTAGCAGACCAATTTTGTCTCGAATATTGAGCCCTTCAGATATTTGTTTTTTGTAATTTAAATATAAGAAAGCATTTAAAATTGTATTGTCAATACAAAATGATAATTTGATATATAATGATAGTTTATTTTGAAGAATATGCAGATGATAAGAGTATTTGTTGAAAAATTTAAATACTCATTGAAAATGCGTGATAATCAAAACAAGTCTGTTTTTTACTAATTTAAAATAATTTATGTAGTATCTAGGTGAATGCATTTAGAAATTCAATAGTTTGTAATATAAAATAAAGAAAATTGCATTTTTTAAGTTGCTTGTTTGGAAATATATGAAGTGAATTTATGATCATCATTTACAATTTATAGTATTCTTTGTTCATTATTATTATTATTATTATTTTATTGGTAGACTAAATATGTTTAAAACTCGAAGTTCTCTAGTTACTTCTATATATCAGTCAAATAATGTAAGGTCTTGTATTTTTTTATTCATATCAAATAATATTTATCATATTTTGTCTATTTGCTGATAAAAAAGCATCTTTCAAATTGCAATTGTCCTGTAATTCTGTAATATTGTATCGTTCAATATTTGGTAGGCTTATGTTATGTTATATTGTATTTTATTAATGAACGTATAATACAAAGTAAATACGCTTCATTTCTTTAAAATTTGTTGAGATAAAAAATTTGTCTAATTTTTGTTTCGGAGGTGGTTAGTCAACTGATGTTATAAATAATAAATGCCTGATCTGTTTATTGCTCCAAAATACCTAATGCTTTTTAGAAGAAAAAGAGAACTTAAAATTCCACAATATTTTGTGATAAGTTAAGTAGTCTTTCCATGATTTAAATTTTAACGTTTAATACCTTTTGGTAGAGTTGAGTTATAAAAAAAATTGTAAGGGACCTGTTTTGTGGAGCATTAAACTCTTTATAAAAATATACATTTGTGTGTGTATGTATGTATGTACATTACTTCATTACTAAGCTACAAAATGCAGAAGTAAGTAAAACAATTTTTCATGTGTTAATTAAGTAGAAAATTGCATTTAGGAACTACTAAATATTAAAGAGGCATCTATTTCCTGTTCATTAAACAGTTAAACATGTTATGTTATATATTATTTGTCGATTAATTTTAATCAGGAGACCTTGATAATTTTTTTTATTAATTTATATGTGTGCGTATTACGTATCGATAAGGTACTTACCGTAATTGACAAAATGTTGCCAGTATGGTTGTCATCGTGTTGCTAGTAGGTAACAGCTCGATTCATCGAGTGTTTGGTACAAATCTATTGTTTATAAAAATCGCAGGTTTAATAAATCCCTTATATTATTAGAATATTTTATTGTTAATTCAGAAAATATGTGGAAACTACTTGGAAATAAAAACAGTGAAAAGAAAAAGGAAGCTGTGAAGAATAAAAGTGAAGAAAGTACCAAGTAAGTTGTAGTACTTCCGGGCCGCTATTATTATAAATTATACAAAAAAGTTCTTTTTTTAAATTATGAAAGAAATCCAGATATCTAGACAAGACAATTCTCGATTTGGCTATTTCGTTATTTTTGTAATATGATGTTAATGATTAGATGGTATGATTCATAATTTGCATAGTAACAATGATAAAGGAACCTTAAATTCCCGCCTTTTTTGTTTCAATGATTCAAACAAACGCTAATATTATCATAACTACATATTCCATTTTTAAGTTTGTTATAAAATTATGTATTTTATATACTTATAACTACAGCAGATATTGTATGGGTAATGTTTTACAAACTTTCTTTTCCTTCTTAATAATGTTTGAATTAAAACAACTCTAAAAGAATATTTTAGGGTTTCTTCTGCAATGATGAAATCCGACGTAAATTTTCCTTCGTCATCTAGGACTGCTCTAAGCACAACCCTTACGAGGTAAGTTTGTATAATGTTAAAGTTATGTTATTGTATAAGAATAAATATTATATATTTCTCTAGGACTGAACGAAGAGTTATTACAATGCGTGCAAGTGAATTGAATTTTAGTAGAACATCTACGTTAGGTACAACTTCTTCCAACAATTTTTTTTCTTCAGAGCCATTTTCAGGATTAAATAATTTTTTTTCAAGGGGTTAGTATCATAATTATTTTATAATAATGTACTTTTAAAAGCTCTCATAAAATTAATTTACACCAATTATTGTTTGTACGACACATTTCTGGACATTTAGTTTATTTAAGACTAAAGACGAACTGGTGTACGTATAAATGTATTTCTGGTCTTTAAAATATCCATAAATTTGGACTTAGGATTGTATTCATAATGTGCAGTGAGTATTAGAGTTTCTGATATTGTTGCATTTTTGAATGTTCCGGAACTTTTGGTAATATATTTTGCAAACTTTTTATCCCCCGATTCGTTGTTATTATTGGCCTGCCTCTCTTATATGGTATATCTTACGTTTTGTTCGAAAAATAAATAAAATATTATTGACATTTGAATTCGCAAAAGTAAAAATATCTGATTATTTTTGTTTATTGCAACTTTGGGGATTTTGTAACTATATATCGACTTTTGTAATGTAACTGGAAGCATCTTTTTACTTTCTTATATCTGTATAATGGCAGCCTTTTTTTCCGTTTGGTGCTATATCACATGCCTTGTTGATCTGCACGCATAGGAACAATTATGTAAAAAAAATTATTTTTATATGTTCTGGAGCTCTGCAATGTTTATGGTTTATTATTTCAATATTATTTGCTTTTCGTGTATACTTCTTCATATCAACAAGAATTTCAATTTTATTTTTTTAGATTTTACCAGACACAGCTTTAACGCCCCAAGCATCCATTCTGATTCTAATCCATTTCAAACTAATTCAAATTCCTCCGCAATTCGTGGATCGGCTTTTTCAGCACAACCCTCAAATAATCAAGCAACGTCTGTGTTGCCAGTCGCGTTAACTCCTACAAATCGTAATATTCCTACTCCAAATAAAGAACGAACTGAAAAAAATAATAACGATAGTTTACCTGCTAATAAGATTGAGAAATTAAAAATAAAAGTAAAGAGTAGCACCCGGTGGTGCGACGAATCGGATTCGAAAGTTGGTTGCTATCAGACAAGATCGAAAAAAATAGCTTTACTGATTAACATTAAAACTTTTATAAATAAAGATGAGAGAAAAGGTTCGGAAATTGACGTAAAGAATTTATGTAGTCTGTTCACACAAATGGGGTTTAAGGTGAACGCGCCCAATCGCAAGGAATGGACTAGAAAGGTTCGTACATAGTACATACATATCATTATCATAAGGTCGTCAGTCCTAAGACTGGTTGGACACACACCTCCAGTCTTTCCTATCCTGAGCTAATCTTCGCATTTCCCTAAAACTAGAACAACCCATATCCTTAACTATTTGCGAACAGTACTCCAATCTAGGTCTACCTCTACTCCTCCTAACTCCCGTTTCTGCCTCTAATATGTCTCTGATTAGACCTTCATGCCTGAGAAGGTGTCTTACCAACCTATCTCGCCTATTTCTTCTTGACTTCTATAGAGTCCTCTGTTCTCCTATTCTTTCTAACACCTTTTTACTTCTAACCTTCTCTATCCACGGTATCCTCATCGTTCGCCTGTAACACCACATTTCGATAAATATAATAAATCACATATATATAAATATAATAAATTAAAAACACTCTAGATTTCATAAACATAAAAAACAACTCAATTGCTATATTTTTTTATAAGAATTTTGAGGTTCTCCTCTGGAACAATACAAAAATTTATGCTCGCTCGAATTTGAACTAACAGCATTTGTTGAAACAAGCACAGGCACTATGTGTTCTTTATGTGCTCACGATTGATTTTCGTCCAGGTGCCACCTAATTTGGAACATTTTCAAAGTTTGTACAGGTTGCAGCACGAATCGCTTTTTTCATAAACAAATAATTATGTGCTCCTAAATAAGAAGTTTAGAAATTATGCGCTCTTTATTTATGTGCTCACAATTTAATCAAGAAGCGGTTTTCGTGCTCTAACAGGTGCCACCTTACATGGAGCGTGCTCAAAGTTTATAGAGGGTGAAGCACGAAATTGCCTTTTTCATAAACAGATTTATATACTCCCAAACGAAAAGCATAGAAATGAATTTCAAAATGTGGGATCTAGTTTGAAATTTTTAAAAAAGTACTTTTTTTTTGCAGCACAAAACTTTCAGTTCATTAACAGCAGATAATTCTCATATAAGTTTTGTTTTGATTCGCGATAATTGGAATAGTTATGTTTACGTATACATATTTTTTTAAATTATCGTAGGTATATTCTCGAAGAAACATCTTAATAAAGGAAAACATAAAACAAGAGTGTTTTAATAGGTAACATGTATTTGCATGTTTAAAAAATTAGGCAATAGTTTCGGCTTTTACGATCATTTTGAAGAGCACAGAAAAATGTAACTGTAGGTAGGTAAATTGATACTTAATTTTGGTTAATTGAGACCGACAACTAACAAAAACACTAGAATAGAAGAAATATGTTTTAGAAAAACATTTGTTTTTCTTTTATTTTGTAACTTCGCTTTCGCAACATACTAACATACTAATATTTTTTCAATCATTGCCTTGTAGCTTTATCAAAAATTGGCTGCCTAAGTTTGAGTTTGTACATAGGTACATATAAATTGGGGTAGTGTAAGTCGAGGTATTACTGTATATATATTTCTAATATTTTCAGGATATTGAATATGCGATTTCTAGTTTCAAATCTAACAAACGTTTAAAAGAGTATGACGTCTGTATTGTGGTGGTAATGAGTCATGGAAATGGTGGAATAGGAAGCGATAGTACGGTAATCGTGTGTAGTAATAACGAAACTGTAGAAACTAACTGGATTGTGACACAATTTGATGGAATCAATTGCAGAGATTTGCTCGGAAAGCCAAAAATTTTCGTTTTTCAGTGTTGCAGGTAAGACATATTTGTAATATGTTGTAATTAAACATTTGAAATGGATTATTATTTATTAAGGTGGCAACAAAAAGCACGACGGTCAATAAGAGCGCAAATTTGCTATCGTTGAAAGGAAAAAAAACTGTACACACTATTGATGCATATTAAATACAATTCAAATATTTTTTTTCATTAAAAAGTAACATATGGGTCTATAGATGAATAAATAGTCATTATCCCTTTATTATAAGTTTTTATGATAAAGAAAAAATCTTAAATAATAAAAAAAGATTTTAGGTAACTACATCAACAAAGGAATGTATTGTAAATTACTTACATCTCTAGTTTAAGGAAACTTTATAATTTCACATCAATTTGATCTATAACTGTTTTTGCTTAAAGTGACCCCTAGAACACGCTCCTTGAGTAACGGGAAAAATCACCCAGTATATACCCACATAACATAATTTTACAATATTTATTTTTATACATTCATTACATTGAAAACTCATGTATTCCTTCGCTTTTTTGTAAATATAGGTACATAAATTTGATAAACAGGTAAAGCTTTAATTTAATTTTAGGGGTGCGCAAGAGTACCACCGCCAAAAACCCGCGACTGATGGACCAAGTCCTCAATCAGACATTCTTGTAGCATATAGCACAGTGCCAGGTAAGTTTCCTAATTATTTCATGTCGTTGTAAAAAGACAAGTAAAAATTTAAGAAATCGCATCTATTATTATTGAATTGATGAATATTATTTATTTTTACTTACAAGTTATTGAGCTACCGGCGATTTCTTTTGTGGATGCATTAAATTTTTTTTTCTAAATCCCTTTTTGCCAAAAACTTTTTTTTTTTTTTTGGTTTTGTATTGTAATCTTAAGACCAATAAGTTGTTTTTTTCAACATACAAATATTTTAGGGTTCGTTTCTTATCGTTGTAAAGATTGTGGCTCGTGGTATATTTATACGTTTTGCAAAATTTTTATGGAACATGCTTATGATACACACGTGGAAGATCTGTTAAAAATGGTCGACGAAGAACTGAAGATGTTTTCTGACAATTATAAGGACATGACCAAACCTACAACAAGCTATGAAAGTCGAGGATTTAAGAAGTGTTATTTACACCCTAACCCTAAAATAAGTAAAGCAAAATAGACTTATTTTACCCGCAAGATTAAGCTGACGAAATGTTAAAAATATGGATGCAAGAATAAGGGGCCCTGGGGGGCCTGAGCATCTCCCGATTCATGGTGAGCACTCTCACCGAACCCAAATTTTATTAAAACCCTCTTAATCCAAATAGATGAAAAATAACTATATGGATAATACAAAGAAAAGAAACTTCAAAACAAAAAAAATTGATTCGACATATCGTAAAAAATTATTGATTTAGATCGATTTGAATTATTTTAAGTTTTTTATAACATCAAAAAGCAGTTATTTGAAATGCATATTATTAACCAGTAATTATGTAGTAAGTGCCTGCAGTTTACATCTGTTGAAAAATTATCACTAAGATCTTTAAATTTATAAACATACATACAGGGTTTCTCACGGTGACCACCCATTACAATATTTCGAAAACTACTTCGATTTAAATTTTGAAAATTTGTACAATAGTGTTGTTGCATCTTTGTAGCACTTCCGGTTATACCGGAACTTGATCTCAACTTTGTTATTTTAGATGAAACACCGTGTATATTATGACGGTTTTAAATTCTACTTATAATTTTAGCTAGAATTTCATAAGACTTTTACTTCTAAAATTTACCATTTTGGCGATATTAATTTTTTTTTAAAAACAGTATCACAGAGCATGCCTACTTTACAGTAAGAATGCTGGAGCAATAACATTCTTAGGTGAGACACCTATACCCTCACGCTTCCCGTCCATACTTTCAAAGTGGATTAATTACATCCTTTGCAGAATTACTTTCTTTTGAATTGTACCTGCTATGGTTTCTATACCCATCTTCTCTAATTTTCAAAGTACATACCGTTCTTAAATAGTTTAATTTTTTATGAAGATGACTGTGAAATTCTTAGCAGAACTTCAAAACAAGCAGTACAAGTTAATTCCTTAGTTCCTTATAACAATTACAATGTTACAATAACAGACGATTAATTAATTTGGTATTTTAGTTTTTTTTTTAATAAGATTGATATTCTTATATATTTTCTTAAATTATTCATTCATGCATGTATTATTATAAGTAATATCTGTATGTGAGAAAACAAGACTACTATTGTTATAAAATGTTAGATACTATCAATTTCAAAATAATAAAACACATTTTAAAATAAACAGTGCAAATATTTATTGCTACGAAATACATTTCTTCTGTGAGTACATTTTTAAACAACAAAAAGTAGCGGAGGCTATATACAATTTTTTTTAAATTAAACATTGGTGATAAAATACATTTTAAAATACGAGAATCCAGTACCATATTTGCTTTAATGTATTTAAAAGCGAAATACGACGCATAAATTTTCAAAAATATTGAACAACCTCGTATTAGTATTTAATAAATAAAAAATTTAATTACTTTTTAGATTCGTACTCAGACTTAAGCTTTGGTCAAAAACTTATTTTTGCGAAAATAAAATATCGTATATTTTCATATTTTACCGTAAACAAAATTTAATTTTAAGTAATTTTAGATAATTAGATGGATGATGATCTCTTCATGGATTAGGGGAAAAGGGGTGGGGTTTGGAAGACCTTGTAGAATATTAAAAATGGGCGAAAGGGGTAGGTTAAATTAGGTGTAGCAAACAAAAACAATAGTTTTATGAGGTCATTTCTACACCCTCATCTAAAAATACTTGTTTAGTTTTTTACAAGGTCTTTCTCACCTTATTCACCCCCATTTTAATTGAGAGTCTCACTATTGTTTAATTACATTTAATTAATTTCCAAAGACAATAAAAATAAAACAATAAAACAACTCTGATAATTGCAATTAAATGAATTTAGAATGAATAATTGCTCTGAAATTACCCTTTTATGATGAATTTACATACTTATTACCTTGTAATTAAAACAACAACGACTTCCGCGATCATTTTCTAGCGACGTAAGTAAGCGAAACAAGTAGTGTACATGTTAATTGGGGGATAAGTCGTTTTTGTGTTTAGGTCAATTGGGGTAAGTCATTTTTATTTTAATTTTTTTCATCATCACAGTCCTTTTTCTTAATAAAAAGATACTTTCAATGGCATACTGTTGCCATTTTTAAATTTAATGAATTGTGACACTACGCCATTAAAAGTAGGTAGGTAGGTACCTATCTTTTTATTGAGAACTTATATTTGTCCTTTTTCTACCTTTTTTATTGCTCTTTATATAATTAAGAAACGATTATTTTTTTTGGAATTAACTTTATTGTTTCATTGAATGATAAATTCCTAATAGTCTTGCACTAAAATAATAAGTTTTGTTAAAATAATGGAAATAAATTATTGACGGCACAAGCAAATATATTAAAACATTATCACAATACTATTTATATTTATCGTATTCATTGCTGTTTATATATAAAAACCAAAATTGAGAAATTAAATAAATGAGTAAGTTTACTAAAATTGTTATCTTATATTATCTTTATTGAAAAGACGTGAAGTACTTGTTCAATCAAATCAGTCTTCTACTTCACTGCATATACTATATTTTCAAATACAAGGTGGAATCGTCACTTACTTGGTGAAATTTCATAACATCATAAAAATAATAAAACATAACTCGTAATTTTCACAATTTAAAATCTGATCAAAACAATTATTTCGCTAACACAGTAATTTTTTCAAATGGAGTGTTACACTAACTATTTTACAAAAATTTAGCTTGTAGGTATATACCCTAACTAAAAATGGTAATGTATTTAACTTTATTTGATCATTTAATAATAGTTTTAGTTTTTAATTTTTTTTATTTCCAAAGATTCTAAAGTATCAAGTTTTGTTCCTTTATTTAATGTGTGTTAAATATTATAATTTGTATTAAATTTATGATTTTCTGAAATTTAGATGATGTAATTATAATTTTCTTTTTTATATGCAATGTTCTTCTTGTTTAACCAATACAGCATTTGTGACATGAACCACATGTTAATTTCTAGGCGCTCGTTTTTCTAATTTGTTTGTAATTTTAAATGAAACGTTAATTTTTTTTAAGCCTTGATGGAATACGTAAACTAGAATAATCTATGTATGTTAAACTACTAAAATTTCTGTCGTTATGTAGGTATAGGAAAAACTAATCCGATGGATTTTTGTACAATTTTTTTTATTTAGCATGTTGTCTATTATTATTATTGGATTATATTCCTTATTATGCGCTATTTGTTTTATAAGATTGAATTCATTACTGCAACTGATTTCAACAACAGTATGTTATCATGGATTAATATAATTTTTCTTTTTGAAGTGGGTGATATGATTTAGAATGAATAGTTGTGTCTACATATGTTAGTAAAAATATAACTATTACTAAATGATCAAAATAGTTAAGTGTATTATCATAGTTAAATGAATTCTTATGTAACACCCACTTTTAGTTAAGGTATATATAAATTACAATTTTGTAAAATATTTAGTATAACACTCCACATGAAAAGTTACTGCGCTAGTGAAACAATTGCCATTATTAGAATAAAAATTGTGAATATTACGAATTTTTTACGAGAAGTTTACTGTACTTAAAAAGAAGCAATATGCAATCTCTTTAGATTAAATCAATGAGGTAGCAAAGCAGTAACAATAGAATATTTAATTTTTCAAATCAACTATTTTTTAATCAATTATTTGTCGGTACTGAAATTAATTAAGATCTTTAAAAGTGTTAAAAAAAAGTAATGTCTTTTCAATTACGTACTACTTAACTACATACGTAGGTAAAAGGGAATTTAATAAAAGAGAAGTTATTATTAATATTTGTGAAATTCTAGGATATAGTACTTCTGTCTGGTGTTCTATTTTTTAGTTGTAGACTAGATAATAAGTTCAATTGAAAACATTACATTAGGGAGAATATTGAAATTTCAAAGCAGATTTTTGATTGGAATGAGGTCTGGAATATCGCTAGAAGCACAGAGTAGTTATTTATAATTTGATCCGTGAGCAGAGTGGAAATAAGACTACACAATCTTGCACCCAACAACTAAAAATTGGCAAGTATTGGGAAAAGGAGGGGGACAGAAAAGGAGAGATTGGAAGGGGATACCTTCTGAGATATGAAGGGATTATTAGAGAAATATTTAAAGGTTGAAACAGGAATAAAGTGGCAGAGAAAGGCCTACATTGTATTACTGTCCACAAGTAGTTAAGGATAGCAGATGTTCTAGTTTTCGGGGAAATGTGAAAATTACTTCAGGATTGGAAGGAATGGAGAAACTAGTCTTTGGACTGATGACCTTATGATGGGATGAACTACTATTACTTTGATACAGTTACCTAAATATGGAAAAAGAAAAGGTAAAACTTCCATAGTACAGGTTTTTAAGAAACTTAACTTTTTTGACAATGGCTTAAAATGCCCCATTTATGGAAAACGTACAAGGAAAGTGGGGGAAAAGTTGATTGAGATGTTTTTTTAAAATAAAGATTTTGTGTTAGATTAGGTTACATTAGTTTAGTAAGGAAATTAACGCAGCCTAATCTTACCCTAAACCTCTTAACCTAATATAACAAAAAAGAAATATTTACGAAAGAAATTTTATACCTTCCCCTTCATTTTTTCTTGCATGTGACCTATTTTTTAAAAAAATGTTAAGTGTTGAAAAAAACTGTAGTACAAAAGCTTTAACAAAAGCAATTACAAAGTTTTTAACAATTTCAATTTCCGTTATAAAGGAAAATAGCTACCCTAAATTTAAAAAAAAATCAGCTACAGTTTACCCCAAAGTCGTTTAGAAAGACCAAGTACGAGGATTGTAATAAGTTCTGCGAGAAAATAATCACCTTGTATAATACAAAGGCTAATGGAATTTTAATATATATTACTAATTAAATTGGGCTAGAATACCTAACAATTTTAATAAGATCCATTAAATGAACGCTTAAAAGATAAAGTTTTCTTAAAAATTGTGTTTTCAAAAGTATTATTCGATTTTCTCATACTGAGATTCAGATTTCAATCAGTCAATTCAGATCTGAATTTGCCAAAACATCCTTTGAAAGCATTATTACAGATGTAAACACATTAAATATAAAAATAGTACAAAATTAAAACACAAAAAATATCACATGTCACAAGCACTAAAGTTTTGATTGAATAAACGTTTAGCACTGAACTTAATTGTAGTATCACAAATTATTTGGTCCTGTATAATACCAGTCCAGTATTTCTAAATGTTGTAATTATGTTGAAGATTCAATGAACATTTTACCATCGCTAGTGGCATTTTGTTCCAGACCCTGCAGTTCTGCCACCGCTTTTCTGAGATCAACCGTTCGAAACATTTCGTCAATATATTGGTAAGTGTATTTGGTATTATCAAACTTAAATTTAATACCCAAAACTATGTTTAAAGCGGATGCGTCGTAGCTGTGACAACCCGAATACCGATACTGCGGTTTTTTATTAAAACGACATCCGGCTGATTGCGCCCCAATGGGATGAATGCAGTTTTGTATCAACGCACATTGCACCCAAGGTAACATCACATTATGGTGAATGTCTTTAGTGTTAACAATCAACAAGCTATCTGCAGATACCATTTCTAAGAATAAAAAGTTGTCTGCGTCAGTATGAAAATATTCAAACATTTTTTTATGAGTTCGACTAGAAACAGCGTTTTTTGATGGCAACGGCCAAGTCATAATTCCACTATTACCGACTACATAATCATATAAATTTAATACTGTTGATGTTGTTACATGTTTATTTAATCGACGATCGCATTCAACAAAAAGTATTGCACCGGCTTTTTGAAGAGCATCCTGAAAGAGATTTTATACTAATTACATAAATGTTGACTATTAACATGCATCATGTCCCGTAATGATTTTAGGTTGAAGGTACTCATGGGGCTACTACAATTTAAAAGTTTGCAATAAGCTGCTAATTTGAACTATTTTTTAAAAATATTTTAAACTTTTGAACATTTTTAGATACACATGAAATGAGTACTAATTGAGATAAACTCTACATATGTTTTGGGTAGTTAATGCTTTATCAAGAGTATTTCGTTACTTGTAGCAGTAAAAAGAACACATGATATTAGCACAAAATACATTGTTGATATGTTGCTAGTTGCACAAATTTCATATAAATAGTTTGAAATATTAATATTTTAGTCAATCTTAGACATCAAGCAGTCTCTCACTGTTTCATAAAATAATAATAGTCAGATCAATCAAATTAACATCTTTAAGCAAATTTTCAAGCTTTTTGATTTTTTGGTTCCCTATATATACCCACTTTCAATCTAAAATTATTATGGAACATTATTTATATTTTATTTCTTTAATACATGTGTAAATAAAATTTTTTAAATGTTACTTAAACAAGAGTTGATTAACTTTTATGTTACCTGAATTATTAAAGGGCGAAAAGCATGTGAGTCTTCATCTTCAACATGAGATGGATACTCTGTTAAGCTATATGTGATCACTTGACACCGACTATGATTACAATAGTTATATAGCTATAAGATATGCAGAGCTTATATGAAATTACCAAAAATAAGTGTATAGTGTGGTACTTACTGTTTTTAGACCATAATTTCCTAAACCTAAATTATAAATAAGGATAGTATTGTTAGGCAGAATTCTAGCAAAATTATTTATTAAGCCAACTGCTTGGCTTTCTTGACCTTCCATAACATATGAAACCACAATTGGTAGTGATGTATTACTCCATATATCTTTAGGATATATGCGTGGTTCATTGTTAAATCCCAGTAAATTCAGATATTTATCATCAGCATCCAATACTCTGTTTGACTGTTCCTGTAAGGTATCCTACAAAAATTATTTTTATTTATTGATTTAGTGTTAAATGCTCAATTACCTTTAAGTTTCTAAGTTGTTGATGAGTTGTGGTAACGAAACTGTGTATTGTAGTCTGATCCTGTGTGTTAAATACAATAAGGAAGAAACTTACAGTTATTATACTAGATGAAAATATAAGAAAATTTTTTGTTCGCATTACGGAATTGTGAACTGCTTTTAATTAGTCCACCTTCTTTTTGTACTATACAGTACCATAAAAGTTAGGCCAATTATTAATTAATTTTATGACTGAACCTTTAAATTTGATTATAAATGATATTTGCTCCTCTGCTTACATTATTCACACCATAAAACCTGAGATAAGATATTCATGGTTGTTTTTAGAGCATAGTGTTGGAGGTTAAAGTTGAAGCACTATCTTCTATTTTCATTTTCCTTCTAAAATTCCAAATACTAGTCTTTTTTGCAAATGTGCAAATTCTGTAAAACAAATTAACATTAGAAGTAATTTAAATTACCTGTTAATTAGTATTACCCAGTATTATAAATGATAAAGTGACCCTGAACGTCTTTATCGTTGTGAATCATGGATGTATGCAATATTGTTTCATTATTATCGTAAAAGGTAAATATTAGTATTTTCATAAAACACTCGAAGAATTGGGTTAATTTTAACATGAAATACGTCTTTTCATAAAGATTACAAAAACAAATTGTTGATAAGTTGATGTTCGTTAGGTCAGGTTTTATATTTTATTTATACATTAGATGTACATTAGTGTCATTTAGGTTGCCTGTATCTAAGAGTAAAATACCTTGATTTTTTAAATAAATGACTGCATGAGCGTAGGATTGCATTAGATTTTTTTTTAATAATTTTATGCGTCCTATTTGATTACATATCAGCAGAATTGTTGGTTATTTCTAGAAATGACTAGAATATATATACTGTATTTAGAAATGTTTTGAAATTTTACTGAAATA